GTCAAACATCATGTGGGTGGAGTCAAACAGTATGTGGGTGGAGTAAAACAGTATGTGGGTGGATTCAAACAGTGTGTGGGTGGAGTCAAACATCATGTGGGTGGAGTCAAACAGAATGTGGGTGGAGTCAAACAGTATGTGGATGGAGTCAAACAGTATGTGGGTGGAGTAAAACAGTATGTGGGTGGAGTCAAACATCATGTGGGTGGAGTCAAACATCATGTGGGTGTAGTCAAACAGTATGTGGGTAGAGTCAAACAGTATGTGGGTGGAGTCAAACAGTATGTGGGTGGAGTCAAACATCATGTGGGTGGAGTCAAACAGTATGTGGGTGGAGTCAAACAGTATGTGGGTGGGGTCTAACTGTATATGGGTGGAGTCAAACAGTATGTGGGTGGAGTCAAACATCATGTGGGTGGAATCAAACTGTATGTGGGTGGGGTCTAACTGTTATGGGTGGAGTCAGTCTGTAGGGAGGCAAACTCTCATTTTTTTAACCACGGAAATGAAAAGAAAACGTGGACATTAGATGCACATTTTGCGTGCTCAGATGAGTTGCTCCTCGAAGCTGTCCATCTTGCTATTTTTTTAATTAAATTTTATTTCAAACAATAAAAAAATGTTAAATAAAACATATACATGCATGTAACAAATAAAGGGAGAATAAAAACAACAACCATCTGTTAGAACATAAAATTTCCAGCAACATATAATATAGAACAAAACTCATGTTTGAAAAGGGAACAGGAAAAAGTAATAGCTTTTCCTGTTCCGAAGTCTTCCTACAAATTCTTAAACCAGTTACAATTTACTCGTATCATGTGTAGATCAGAGCTTAATAAATATCTACACACAGTTTAGAAATAACATAGCATTCTATCACGTTCATTTGTATGAACATTATTTATATACTCCTTATATTTTGTCTTGAATTGTGCAATATTTTTACTTAGCTTAATTTCATCATCTATTTACCAGACAACTTGTGGGAGGTGACCATTTTCAGCAAAACGCAGAAGCACATGCTGCTTCGCATGAACAAACGCGCACACAAAGTTCTGACAGATCACAGAATACAATCAGCCTTAACGGTGTGGGTGGAGTCTAAAAGCATGGGGGTGGGGTCAGTGAAGTCTAACAGGCTGTGGACTGAGTCATGTTTGTTTTCTTGGAGTGGCAAAGATATGATTCCAGCTGGGGGTTAGGTTTACTGTTACAGAGAAAAGTTGTGTGTTCAGATTGTCTGTTAACACGAACTACACATAATACAGTAATGATTAGTTTTATAAAAAGTCATTTTCAAATGATATGTTTTTAAAATTGACCATGTTTTTTTTTAAATAATCTTATTTCATATTGGTCGTTTTTAATCCTGGAAACTCTCAGACCAGTGTAAAGTTGTGCTTCATGAGTAAAAGTCAAAGTTCACCAGTGGACTCTCAGGAGGTCTTGAAACCATCTCCGCCACTAAAATTGTTCTGGTCCATTTGGAGGTGAACTCTAAACCAGGCCAGGCCAACCAGTCAATCACGATCGACCGTTCGATCTTTAGCTGGTTAGCAGTAGATCACAGAGCTTGTAGAGCGCAACATTGTCTAACATTGCGTTCTTGAACGCGCGCCCCCTCGTCCTCCCCGTCTTGTAAACGTGACCAGTCTCGCAAGTTTTAGGTGCTGTGAAACAGCACTCCGAACGTGATCTTGAGGTGGAAAAAAATGAACGCAACACAGCTAACAAGCAAATAAAAACGTATCATTTTCACCTGGAGTGGGAAGAGGACTCGTATGTAATTCGAGCGCTGCCTTGGCTTGTCCAAAAAGGATAACGTGGAACAGCATCTCTTTCAAAACAATGCACAGACTCAACAGTTCAGAGTCTAAACTGTTGAGCTGGGATAGAGGTGATGTGTGCAAATGTTATTAACTTTTAATTTTTGCCCAAAATATACAAAATTATACGAACTTCTTGCAGATACTGCTGGTAATATGTTATTGTCATTGCGGAAGCTGCCACTCTGTGTTGGACCACCACTGCTGAGTGGGCGGAGTCAAACAGTCTTTTGTGCTTCCATCCGAAGTAACTGTTTTCACACTCGCACATTTTTGTAATTTCCTTATTTTTAGTGAAACCTAAAAGAAAATTTGTTGCGTGTGTCAGTGTTTCTGCAGCTCTCCTCTCGTTTGTTCGGCCTGTGTTGGGAACTGGTTACCATGGAGACAGCGAGGTGCTTCACAGAGACTGATTACAGATGTTTGAAGAAATAAAACATGTTAGAGTAGAAGAAGGAGCAGAAAACTGACGAGGAACAATACTGCATGCAAAAAAACTAAGAGAATTTATGGTGCAGAGGTTAGTTCCCTGACCTTTGACCTCTTCATCACATCCACGCAGGTCAGGTCGTTTCTCCTGCTGTGATTGTTTTTTATGTCCTGCTGCCAGTTTCAGTTTAAATCTCTGAGAAGAACCAGCTCTGACGCTGTTTCACCGACTGTCCTTCTCCATCAGGGCTTCCTGAGTCGAAGGCTGAAAGGATCCATCAAACGCACCAAGAGTCAACCCAAACTGGACCGCAACTCCAGCTTCAGACACATCCTGCCTGGCTTCAGGAGCTTTGACAACGACAGGTAGGACCAAACCTTCCTGATGATGTCACACGTTTCCCCATCAGATTCTGGTTGTTAAAGCTGAACGCGGTAGAGTTTCCTCGGTTCAGACTACTTCCTGGTCTTCTCTCATCTCTTCAACTCTCCTGCTCGTTCAGTGCTTCTGATCCGTCTCAGACTCTTCAGGTTGATCCTCCCACCTGCTGCGTCTCATTTTCTCCCAAACCACCGGTGTTTATCTCAGATAACCCCACGAGAAAAAGAGACAAACATCTGAGAGGAAACTGAAGGTTTCTTTTCTCTCCTGCTTTAACACAGAAAACACACCTCAGCGTGTAATAATGGGAAACCTCACCGATGTTTCCAAAGGTAGACGGAACCCAGACGTCTTGTTAGGTGGCTGAAGTTTGTGTATAATTTATGTTAAATAAGAATCAGAAGGAGAAGAGTCTGTGACCCCACTCCATATTAGGAGCTTCTCATTTTTATGAGAATAACAACAGATAGTTGTTTTCTCTTAAACAAACAACAACAACAAACACATCTCAGTTGTTTCGGACCATTAAGTGCTTAAAGTTGGAGTGAAGCTGAAATGTCAGACGGTCAGTTTATGAACTTGGGGCGGCTGTGGCAGAGTCGTCCTGTAACCGGTGAGTTGCCGGTTTGATCTCCCGTTCCATCCAACTCAGTTGTTGTGTCCTTGGGCAAGACACTTCACCCGCTTTGCCTGCTGTTGGTGGTCAGATTACTACCATCAGTGTGTGAATGTCTGTAGTGTAAAATGCTTTGGAGTCCATATTGTTAGCCTCATAGCATAAATGTGACCCATCATATCGAAATTCAAGATTCAAAGTGTTTATTGTCATATGCACAGATAAAAACATGTTTCCCTGAGCAATGAAATTCTTACTTTTTCGTCCATTTTTGAATGCTGAGAGATATTAAAAAAAAAAATCACTGAAAGGACACAAACAATGTTGATTAATTAAAAAAAGAGACTAAACTAAGGATAATAACATAAGAAGGGAACAATATAATAATGACAACAAGAAATGAGGATTAAGTCAAATTTGGTCAAAATGACCTAATTACATCTTCCGATTTTTGGCTTTAAAAGCTACATTTTGATACCTGGATCATTCTGATATCATAATTAAATCCATATATATGACTTAATCTGTCTTGTTGGTTACAATAATACATAAATATTTGGTCTGAATCCTAATTTT